TACCCCTTGTATAAAGTTTTGGTAAATACCGACCTGGACATATCATATACCAAACAAAACCCTAACTATCCAGCTACAATTTAGTGAATAAATGAATTAAGTAAATAAAACGGTATTTAAATAAATTGAAATCAAAGTAGTATAGCCATATTCTGGCCGCCCTGTAATTGTGAGGCACTTGTCGTTTGAATTGTTTTCTATAAATACCTCACAATTCCTATCCATAACTGAATGCATGAATTAATTTGAATTATTGAATAAATTAATAATTTGAAAATGTTTTTGTACTTGTTTTTTAATGAAATTATTGCATTAATATTTTTAGTATATTTTATCATAACATGAATATTACATAAAACGAATAACAGAATTTTTAGGTATTAATATGTAATAACTATAAATATAAAATTATGCAAAATATGAAACTAGTTTCTTTTAACACCGAATCCATTCTGATAAACATTATATTTAATAATATTTTAAATAATTTATTTTTTAGCAGGTTCTTTTACTCATGTTGTGATTCACTATAAAAAATTGTTTTAAAAGGTTTATGTGAATATTACTATTAATATTTGCCAAGTACAATATTTAATTTATTCATTACCCTATACACAATGGGTTCAAAAATTAATGTTATATCTAAAAAATGGTCATAATTTTAAGCATCCAATAGGTTTTTGTTGAATACTGTATTACAAAATTTATATTATAAAATAAATTAAACTAATTATTTCTAAATAATTATTTCTAGTTAATTATTGCGTTTGCTATTTTATAAAATGTCGTAGATTACTTAAGGGCATTTTTGAAAAACAATAAAATAATTAATTATTTAATTACGTATGGAAATAAACACACTGGTAGAATTCACTAAATATTTTCTACAACTGCATTAAATTAAGCAATATAAAAGTTTTATTTTATATCATTTTGTATTTTCAAAATCAAACAGCTGAATAAACTCATTAATAATAAAAATAGTTTTAAAGTACCGTGATTAATAAATTGATATAATTAATGATTTAAATAATTAACTTTTACACCTAAAATAAACCGGGACAAACATCTGGATATACGCACGAGAATATACTTTAAAGTTTAAACTAATAAAAATATAAATTATTTTATAAGTTTGATATAACTGGAATATTTATAATATGTAAGTTACATTTAAAAATATGATACAAATTTCAGCATAATCATATATATTTGCACAGTATGTAAACCTTACAAAATAAATATTACACAAGCAAATAAGTGAAATTGATTTAATTATGATAAGATAAAATATCAAACATGTAATATAATTTTCCATGAAAATTTCAGATTATATACCTGTTACCAAGTGTGCTAGATTTAATTATTTATGTATTTTTATATTATACACTACTATGTATGTACCATTATGGATTGGAAGTTTTTACTGCTATACATATTGGGATACTGTTTACGACAATCGAGTCAAAATTTTGTCGATTGTCGTAAACAGTATCCCAATATGTATAGCAGTAAAAACTTCCAATCCATAATGGTACATACATAGTAGTGTATTTAGTGTTTACGTATAATTTACTTATTGCTTATTAAAAAATGAATCATGTAAACTATTGTATCCGGTAAGTCAATAAGGTATTGCAATTATTTTTTTAAACTCACTCAAAAACATATTATTGTTTTATTTTCTTGTAAACGAGCTGGTTAATTTAATTAATTATCAAAAATCAATTGTTTAAGTACATGAGTGGTGTGAATATACTAACTAAACCATATGTGTTTGTTTTGATATAAAATTATTTTGCTCAGAAACAAAAAGTTTTAAATCAATTAATCTTGTACTAATTAATGTCCTATTAGACCATGAACAATTTGTCATAATTTTGTCGATAAACTTTTTTATATAAAAGTCAGTAACTCATTGCTGTAGTGACTATACAACAAAAAACTTGCTTAGTTATTTTTATATTAGAAAATTATAACTATACAAATATTAATAATGTACACGAAAATTGTTTTTGTATTCACACTATATGTAACAGGTACATCTTATTAAAGTTATTTTTTAAAATTATAAAATTTTATTTTTGAAATTTTGTTTATAATTACAGTTTGTTTCGCGAGAAACTCGATGCCCGACAAAACGGATGACAACTTTCAAAACGATTGCCTCCAATCGAGTAATACATTCCGTGCTAAACACCATTCACCCGGCTTTAAAGTGGACCCTGCTGTAAATATAACTTTATTAGCATGTTAACTATAGTAAAATCCTACCTTTCTTATTATCATATAAGAAATTGCTTTATAACAAAATATATTATTTTTAAAACTTCCCTAGGCTGTAGCGTACGCAAAGTCCCGGTGCGCACTGATCTCACAATACCCTCGTCTATCACATGGCCATGCCGGGCTAAAGGACTATGGTGAAAACTTATATTGGGCTGGTAACTCGCAGGATGTTATGGGTAATTGTCAATCGGCTATAAACTCTTGGTAAGCCACTTATACATATTAATTGTAAAAATATGAATACTAATATTCACTCGGTTTTAATTGCAATTAGCGTGATCACTTCCCGTTCTTGCATTGTTAGTATATTTTTCTTGAAATAATCGAGCTAATCTATTTTGGGAATGACTGTATATGTTAAAAATCAATTATAAATTAAGTTTTAAGTTTGATGAAAATAGGCATTTTCCCCTATTTTTAACCTCCATTATAAAATACATAGGGTTTTCCCATAAGCTGGAAAGATGATTCACAAAAACTGTTGAAAATAATTTTATTTTTGTGTTTATGTTGTCAAATAACATATCAAATGAAAGATTAATAAATAATCTACAGTTTGATGGTGTTTTTAATGTTGTAACTAAAATACTTTTTTCAAAAATTAAATTCAAATTTGTAACATAATAAGTGGTTAGCACGGTAGTATTCTGTGTTTGAAATGAATTATGAGATTCTGATGAGATTATTATTCTGTAGTATTAATTATTATAAATCATAATTAATTTATAAATAAATTTTAAACTATCATATTAATATAAAATTAGTTTTATTACAATTAATGAAAATAGTCTATTTTAAAATAAATTAAAATTTAAACAAGTATAGATTGCAGTAATGATTTTAATATTTATTAAAAATTAAAATTGTATTGTGAATTTGTAGTAATTTAAATAAATAAGCTTAGAGTAGTTATAATAAACTGTAATATTTAGTAAAAATAATTATACCATAATAAATATATATAATTTGCAAATAATGTGTGAGTGAAACAATTTAAATGTCATATTAGGAGGAACAGTATCCTTTATTTTACTTAATCCTATTTTGTAAATCTTAATGTTGTATAACTTTTACTTAATTTTAAAACTGTAACATAAAATTGTCGCAAACATTATAGGTTTATAGAAATTTTAAATTTTAAATTTTATTTCATTCAAATCTGCTTATCAATATTTTACATATTTATTAGATTTTAATTTTATTTATTTAATACAACTCAATATTTAATTCATGTAATTATTAATATTATTTTTATTAATAAAACTTATCAAGAGCAGTAATAAATTTAATAATAAAAATATTTATCAGTTTGTTGAAAATTATTGTAACATTTTAATTTGCTCAGGGTCTTAGCACGTTCTCCTTGAACCATTTATTCTGGTCGCCCACAATATTGCCAGCTGGTTTATAATTACAAACCACGTATGTCTCATACCATTGACCACCAGGCTCTTTACCGTAGCATCTAGCACAACCGACATTAGTGGTCGATTTCCATACTAACTGGGTAAAATGGCCAGTGGCACCCGAGAAACCGGTGGTGTCATAGTTGTACTGGGACACTTCGTTATACCTATTTGACACAAGTACAAATTATTATATAATTAATTAGTTTTCATATTTTTACAATTAATGTGTATAGGTGGTTTACCATGAATATCTCCTTGAACCATTTATTCTGGTCGCCCACAATATTGCCAGCTGGTTTATAATTACAAACCACATATGTCTCGTACCATTGACCACCAGGCTCTTTACCGTAGCATCTAGCACAACCGACATTAGTGGTAGATTTCCAAACTAACTGGGTAAAATGGCCAGTCGCACCCGAGAAACCAGTGGTGTCATAGTTGTACTGGGACACTTCGTTATACCTATTTTACACAAGTACAAATTATTATATAATTAATTAGTATTCATATTTTTACAATTAATGTGTATAGGTGGTTTACCATGAATTTATGGCCGATTGACAATTACCCATAACATCCTGCGAGTTACCAGCCCAATATAAGTTTTCACCATAGTCCTTTAGAATTAGTATTCATATTTTTACAATTAATGTGTATAGGTGGTTTACCATGAATTTATGGCCGATTGACAATTACCCATAACATCCTGCGAGTTACCAGCCCAATATAAGTTTTCACCATAGTCCTTTAGCCCGGCATGTCCATGTGATAGACCAGGGTACTGTGAGATCAGTGCGCATCGGGACTGTGCGTACGCTACAGCCTAGGTAAGTTTTAAAAATAATATATTTTATTATAAGGCAATTTCTTATGCGGTATTAAAAAGTTAGGATTTAACTATAGTTAACATGCTAATAAAGTTATATTTACAGCAGGGTCCACTTTAAACCCGGGTGAATGGTGTTTAGCACGGAATGTATTACTCGATTGGAGGCAATCGTTTTGAAAGTTGTCATCCGTTTTGTCGGGCATCGAGTTTCTCGCGAAACAAACTGTATTTATAAACAAAATTTCAAAAATAAAATTTTAAAATATTAAAAATAATTTAATAAGATGTACCTGCTACAAATAGTGTAAATACAAAAACAATTTTCGTGTACATCATTAATATTTGTATAGTTATAATTTTTAATATAAAAATAACTAAGCAAGTATTTTGTTGTATAGTAACTACAGCACAGAGTTACTGACTTTTATATAAAAAAGTTTATCGACAAAATTATGACAAATTGCTCATTGTCTAATAGGACATTAATGGTACAAGATTAATTGATTTGAAACTTATTGTTTCTGAGCAAATAATTTTATATCAAAACAAACACATATGGTTTAGTTAGTATATTCACACATAAACTTAAACAATTGATTTTTGATAATTAATTAAAGTAACCAGCTAGTTTACAAGAAAATAAAACAATAATATGTTTTTGAGTGAGTTTAAAAAAATAATTGCAATAACTTATTGACATACCGGATACGATAGTTTACATGATTCATTTTTAATAAGTAATAAGTAAATCATACGGTAAACATTAAATATTATATAAAATACATAAATAATTAAATCTAGCACACTTGGTAACGGGTATATAATCTGAAATTTTCATGGAAAATTATATTACATGTTTGATATTTTATCTTATCATAATTAAATCAATTTCACTTATTTGCTTGTGTAATATTTATTTTGTACGGTTTACATACTGTGCAAATATATATGATTATGCTGACATTTGTATCATATTTTAAAATGTAACTTACATATTAAAAATATTCCACTTATATCAAACTTATAAAATAATATATATTTTTATTAGTTTAAAGTATATTCTCGTGCGTATATCCAGATGTTTGTCCCGGTTTATTTTAGGTGTAAAGGTTAATTATTTAAATCATTAATTATATCAATTTATTAATCACGGTACTTTAAAACTATTTTTATTATTAATGAGTTTATTCAGCTGTTTGATTTTGAAAATACAAAATGATATAAAATAACATTTTTATATTGCTTAATTTNACAAAATGATATAAAATAACATTTTTATATTGCTTAATTTAATGCAGTTGTAGAAAATATTTAGTGAATTCTACCAGTGTGGTTATTTCCATACGTAATTAAATAATTAATTATTTTATTTTTTTCAGAAATGCCCTTAAGTAATCTACAACATTTTATAAAATACCAAACGCAACAATTAATTAGAAATAATTAATTAAATTTATTTTATGATATAAATTGTGAAACACAGTATTCAACAAAAACCTTCTGGATGCTCGAAATTATGATCAATTTTTTTGAAATATTACATTAATTTTTAAAATTTAAATTTTTGAATCCATTGTGTTTAAGGTAATGAATAAATTAAATACTGTACTTGACAAATAGTAATATGTACATAAATCTTTTAAAATAATTTTTTATAGTAAATCACAACATGAGTAAAAGAACCTGCTAAAAAATAAATCATTAAAAAATATTATTAAATATAATGTTTATCAGAATAGATTCGGTGTTAAAAGTGACTAGTTTCATATTTTGCATAATTTTATATATATAGTTATTACATATTAATACTTAAAAATTATGTTATTCGTATTATGAACTATTTTTGTTATGATAAAATGTATTAAAAATATAAATGCAATAGTTTCATTAACAAACAATTACAAAAACATTTTCAAATTATTAATTTATTCAATAATTCAAATAATTCATGCATTCAGTTATGGATAGGAATTGTGTGGTATTTATAGAAAATCAATTCAAACCACTAGTGCCTCACAATTACAACTACTTTCGTTGCATTGAAAAACACTTAAAACATGTATTAGTTTTAATTTTAATAATGGCAATTTATATATCATTATTATAATAATTAATATGTTTGTACAGGTAATTAAATATCAATTTAAAAACAAAATATGAATATAAAATTATCGAACTAATAGATAGCATGGTCAATCCAATCCACATACTAATAGTACCGCCAATATTATAATATAAGTCATTGTAATCCATAGCCAAGTGTTCAGTGATTTGTGGCATAAAGTAGTGATTAGGTATTAAATTGATCTGGGTGTAATTCAGGTTAGACCTAACTTTCACTACAGTTGTCTCAATCATATTATTTACACAAAACCTTTTATAAGGTTTTTTACAAGTCTTTTGTATTTCATTAATAACAGTTTGATTCACAGAATCCGTATAATTAGCACAGAATTTATACCCAGAATATTCCAAATGTCGTTCAATACTAATATCATAACTGAGACCAAGGAGTGGCACACAATTGAAAGTATTATTTAATTCAAACATTAAACAATTGTTAACTGAATTTCTCCTATAATAATAATTGTTATTAAACAAGTAGTCATCCCATGTGTTTCCACTTTCTATACATTGAAACAAATGCCTCTTTAACTGTCGCAACGATTTCGTACTAAACATGACATTAGTTTCGCTGTTTTCATCAATTACTGTAAGTATAGGCCTTTCGCTCGGCTTCGCTATAACTTATCTTTATAATACAATAGTGAATATGATTTGGAATTATAGTCCGAAAATGGATTTAATTACATATTTGTCATCAATGGGTGGACTGATGGGGATGTGGTTGGGATTCAGTGTCTATACGATTGTCACCACAACTATAGATACATTAAAATTAATTACTTTGAGAATTTTTTATATGATATTAACTTATCTGTGTATTTGCATTAAAACCAATTAAGTTTAAATAAATATTTTAATTAGTTACGTTGAATTATATTATTTAAATTTATGTACTATATTAAATATACTGCAATTCAAACTGTAAATGAATATTTATTAAATATTTAGTAGCATCAAATATAAAGTATGTCATAAATTGTGGTCAGTCTTATTGTTTAATTATTAATATTATTTTATTAGTAAAACTTATCAAGAGCAGTAATAAATTTAATAATAAAAATATTTATCAGTTTTTTGAAAATTATTGTAACATTTTAATTTGCTCAGGGTCTTAGCACGTTCTCCTTGAACCATTTATTCTGGTCGCCCACAATATTGCCAGCTGGTTTATAATTACAAACCACATATGTCTCGTACCATTGACCACCAGGCTCTTTACCGTAGCATCTAGCACAACCGACATTAGTAGTAGATTTCCAAACTAACTGGGTAAAATGGCCAGTGGCACCCGAGAAACCAGTGGTGTCATAGTTGTACTGGGACACTTCGTTATACCTATTTGACACAAGTACAAATTATTATATAATTAACTAGTTTTCATATTTTTACATTTAATGTGTATAGGTGACTTACCATGAATTTATAGCCGATTGACAATTACCCATAACATCTTGCGAGTTACCAGCCCAATATAGGTTTTCACCATAGTCCTTTAGCCCGGCATGGCCATGGGATAGACCAGGGTACTGTGAGATCAGTGCGCACCGGGACTTTGCGTATGCTACAGCCTAGATGAGTTTTAAAAATAATATATTTTGTTATAAAGCAATTTCTTATACTGTACGGTATTACAAAAAAAATGGGATTTAATTATAAACATTTATTTAACATGATAATAAAGTAATATTTACAGCAGGGTCCACTTTAAAGCCGGGTGAATGGTGTTTAGCACGGAATGTATTACTCGATTGGAGGCAATCGTTTTGAAAGTTGTCATCCGTTTTGTCGGGCATCGAGTTTCTCGCGAAACAAACTGTAATTATAAACAAAATTTCAAAAATAAAATTTTAAAATTTTCAAAAATAAGTTTAATAAGATGTACCTGCTACAAATAGTGTAAATACAAAAACAATTTTCGTGTACATCATTAATATTTGTATAGTTATAATTTTTAATATAAAAATAACTAAGCAAGTTTTTTGTTGTATAGTCACTACAGCAATGAGTTACTGACTTTTATATAAAAAAGTTTATCGACAAAATTATGACAAATTGTTCATGGTCTAATAGGACATTAAGTAGTACAAGATTAATTGATTTAAAACTTTTTGTTTCTGAGCAAATAATTTTATATCAAAACAAACACATATGGTTTAGTTAGTATATTCACACATAAACTTAACCAATTGATTTTTGATAATTAATTAAAGTAACCAGCTAGTTTACAAAAAAATATAACAATAATATGTTTTTGAGTGAGTTTAAAAAAATAATTGCAATAACTTGTTGACATACCGGATACGATAGTTTACATGATTCATTTTTAATAAGTAATAAGTAAATCATACGGTAAGCATTAAATATTATATAAAATACATAAATAATTAAATCTAGCACACTTGGTAACAGGTATATAATCTGAAATTTTCATGGAAAATTATATTACACGTTTGATATTTTATCTTATCATAATTAAATCAATTTCACTTATTTGCTTGTGTAATATTTATTTTGTACGGTTTACATACTGTGTAAATATATATGATTGTGATTACATTTGTATCATATTTTTAAATGTAACTTACATATTATAAATATTCCAGTTATATCAAACTTATAAAATAATATATATTTTTATTAGTTTAAAGTATATTCTCGTGCGTATATCCAGATGTTTGTCCCGGTTTATTTTAGGTGTAAAGGTTAATTATTTAAATCATTAATTATATCAATTTATTAATCACGGTACTTTAAAACTATTTTTATTATTAATGAGTTTATTCAGCTGTTTGATTTTAAAAATACAAAATGATATAAAATAAAATTTTTATATTGCTTAATTTAATGCAGTTGTAGAAAATATTTAGTGAATTCTACCAGTGTGGTTATTTCCATACGTAATTAAATAATTAATTATTTTATTTTTTTCAAACAAAATGATATAAAATAACATTTTTATATTGCTTAATTTAATGCAGTTGTAGAAAATATTTAGTGAATTCTACCAGTGTGGTTATTTCCATACGTAATTAAATAATTAATTATTTTATTTTTTTCAAAAATGCCCTTAAGTAACCTACAACATTTTATAAAATAACAAACGCAACAATTAATTAGAAATAATTAATTAAATTTATTTTATGATATAAATTTTGAAATACATTATTCAACAAAAACCTATTGGATGCTCGAAATCATGATCAATTTTTATGAAATATTACATTAATTTTTAAAATTTAAAATTTTGAACCCATTGTGTATAGGGTAATGAATAAATTAAATACTGTACTTGACCAATAGTAACATGTACATAAATCTTTAAAAACAATTTTTTATAGTGAATTACAACATGAGTAAAAGAACCTGCTAAAAAATAAATTATTTAAAATATTATTAAATATAATGTTTATCAGAATAGATTCGGTGTTAAACGTAACTAGTTTCATATTTTGCATAATTTTATATATATAGTTATTACATATTAATACCTAAAAATTATGTTATTCGTATTATGTACTATTTTTGTTATGATAAAATGTACTAAAAATATTAATGCTATAGTTTCATTAACTAACAAGTACAAAAACATTTTCAAATTATTAATTTATTGAATAATTCAAATTAATTCATGCATTCAGTAATGGATAGGAATTGTGAGGTATTTATAGAAAAACAATTCAAACGACAAGTGCCTCACAATTACAACTACTTTCGTTGAATTGAAAAACACTCAAAACATGGATTAGTTTTAATTTTGATAATTTTAATTTATATATAATGATTATTTTGGTGGTTAATAAGTTTGTACAAGTAATTTAATATTAATTTACACACAAAATATGATTATAAAATTATGGAACTAATAGATATCATGGACAATCCAACCCACATACTAATAGTACCGCCAATGTTATAAAATAAGTCATTGTAATCCATAGCCAAGTGTTCAGTGATTTGTGGCATAAAGTAATGATTTGGTATTAAATTGATCTGGGTGTAATTCAGGTTAGACCGAACTTTCACTACATTAGTCTCAATCATATTATTTACACAAAAACTTTTATAAGGTTTTTTACAAGTTTTTCGTATTTCATTAATAACAGTTTGATTCACAGAATCCGTATAATTAGCACAGAATTTATATCCAGAATATTCTAAATGCCGTTCAATACTAATGTCATAACTAAGGCCAAGGAGTGGCACACAATTGAAAGTTTTATTTAATTCATACACTAAACAATTGTAAACTGAATTATAAACATGATCATAATTCTCATAAAACAAGTAGTCATCCCGTGTTCGCACACTTTATATACATTTAAATGAATGTCTATTTAACTGTCGCAAAGATTTCGTACTAAACATGACATTAGTTTCGCTGTATTTGTCTATTACTGTTAATATAGTCCTTTCACTCGACTCTATGTATAGTATTAATGCCATTAATACACGGCTTCTATACCTCAACACAATTCTCTCCAATCGGCGTTCACTTAGTAATGACTTAAATGTTGACATAAACTCATTGGTTATGTTTGCAAAATGATCATGCTGTAACCAGGGTCGTTCAGAACTATCGTTATAAAGCATGATATTATTCTCGTGCTCAGGACACTTTAGTGGCCACGTATTGGTAAACATAAAATAGCAATCGACAGCTTTATAGTCATATAGTATACGGCGATATAAACTCATATTATTTTCGGACAAAACTTTATAATTAAATTTTTCATGAAAATCAGATGAGAGAGGTACATTTGATGAATTTTGAAAATAAACTGGATAAAATTTAGCAATTTCTTTGTCAGGTTGGATAATTGGGACTATTGTTACTTGAATCCTGGGCAAACTGATACCTGATATTACAGTAATGGAGAACTTTATGTTGTTTTGACGATAATCGTGGTAAATGTCACTAACCTGGTAAGTCATTAATACAATACTAATAATAAGCGTGATGCATTTAATATATTTTTGTAAATGTATTAATTTTTTAAAATCAATTTTCCATCTCTTAATCCGTTTTAATCTCCAAATAATAACTCTTATGATATCCATAGTTGTGGTGACAATCGTATAGAAACTGAATCCCATCCACATCCCCATCAGTCCACCCATTGATGACAAATATGTAATTAAATCCATTTTCGGGCTATAATTCCAAATCATATTTACTTCTGTATTAAATAGATAATAAATTAAAAATTCATTTTTATTTTCAACAAATGAAACACTAAATGCTGTAATGAAATGGTTGCATTCAATTTGACATAATTTATTCAATACATTATAATCCGGTTTCACAACACATTCATTGAATGTATTATTAAGTATTAATTGACTTTCACTTTGAAATGTATGGGAACTCCAGAAGTGATTGTTTCCACACTTTTTGCGCTCAATTTGTTTCATCACTTCTAACATACAGTCGGCTCTGGATTTGTGGCCAACACTTGCCATACGATTGCTCTCATAGTCGTAACAGTCTGTCCGATAGGGTCGGGGTAACAGTAGCTGTAAATCTGTCTCAATATTAATACCATAAATGACTGAATGCTTGTCCAGTCTCAACATTCTAGTAAAATGTGAGAGACTGTATGTTAAATGTAGCCCAACCGTAACCCCGTGCATATTATTCAACAATATGCTCACCACATCAGTTGTATTACTATAATCATTTAAAAACGTGAAACATATATGTGAAGGGTACTTATGTCTTACATATACCGGTGATATTTGTGTGCAGTTTTGTGTCCCTATTTTACAATTCATGCGAATATATTCAAAGTATTGACGAATTGTTTTATTTTTATAAACAGGATATTCTTTATTCACGCAAACAGTGACCGAAAGGTTTAGACTATAAGCACGAGAATTGCGGTCAAACTTGAAGTCAGTGTTCACTTCGTACTCCAAATAATTGATTGTTTGGTCACATATTTGGTACACAAACCCTGTTATTATTAATAACTTAAATAATAGTTTATAATTAAAATAATATTTTATAAATGAATTCATATTAAAACAATGTCCAAAAACTTATTTGTAGGCTTGATGAATTGCTGTCTACATTATACTTTTAAATACTACACCAAAAATGTTATACTTTGTAATTCGTGTAAATAATTGAAAATTTATTCCAATATTGCAAACATTTTCTGAGTATTATTGATAATTAATAATATGTATTACATTAAGGCTATTTCTATATTATTTATAAGTTTATAATATAATTAAATATTATTTTATTATCATTAAAATGAAAAAACATTCAAACATATATAGTAATATTAATGAAATGTAATATTAAGTAGCAACTACTAGCTTATTTTGTATAAAATTAATAATATAGATTTTTAAGTCAAGGGTTTTAGAAAGTATTTTATAATAACATTGAGTTTTGATAATTAAAATATTTATTCCTTTATTTATCTCATAATATAACACATAATGTAATTTCAGAAATATTTCTCATAAATCCGTTCAATACTTAACAAAAATGTTGACAAGTTTTTTGTCATATATTCATTACCTGTTATATTAACTGATCCTGTTCATTATTATTTTATTATATATTATAACACTTTTGAGTACAACGTATTGAATTTTAATGTCGGGTATGAAAACCGAGTCCTTAACCCAGCCTTAAGGCTCATATAATAGCACACAATAGCACCGATAAGTTATTTGATCAATGATATTTTAATATAAATATATAAATAATCAGTTAATTGTTAATCAAAGTGAATATTTTGTACGTTTGTAAATATGATAAATTATTTAATATTAAACAAAGTTTCCATGGCAATGTTAACAGTACAGTATTTCATATTAGCCCTCTTTTGTTAAAAATGAATTGAAATCCAGGTCATTATTATTCAATTGTGTAAATCTAATTGTATGCAAATGTTGTGTAACATACCTGTCATTACCTGTGATATTAATGATAGACATTTCGGTTGACGTATAGCAACAGATGTAGTGAAATAATATACATT